TTAAAAGAAGATAACAAAATGGTTTAAGCTACTTAGGTTGAATGCCAATTATATTTTAATATTCAACTGAGCATATTTTACTAAGAAAAAAGGCAGCGTCGACGCATGCATAACTCATTGGCAGCGTCGACCAGCTGTGCCACTCTTCTCTTCGAATCACTTTGTGCATTTTAGTAGCATGGTAATTTAGTAGAGAACTACCTGAGTGATGGCATTTTCAATGAGCAGGTAATCTACAGAGAATTTTTATATGGTTATGAGTTCTGTGCTTCAGCCTGGCAACACAAAAATACATCAAGACCAATTACGGTATCAACTTTCAGCGTGATACCCTTGCCACGCAAGTGCATGTATTTCTGCCCCAGGCATTTCAAATTGCATCTAATTTGAAATCTTTGGGGTTTTAATTAAATTTCAGAATATATGGAATTCTTCATTAGTACCTGCTCTGAATAGCAGATTATACTTCTCTCAGTCTCTCGTTAAAGAAGTAGGCTGTGGTAAATAGCATGTTCAAGAACTGATCATTTGTGGTGCCTGGATATTGGGAACAGAAATAGTGAAATGCAAAATAATATCAAAAAGATTATTAGTCCAGTGAGGGACTCTTGATTTGTATTTTAATGGAATTTTACATTTCTCTTAATGATTTGCAAATTGTCCTCTGATTATAAGATGCATTAAGCTTTTCATTTTAATGGAGAGACACAGCCATTAGCAGAAATTTTTTTCTGTCTTCTTTTTAGAGTGCTTCCCTGCAGCAGATAAATATTGAAACCATTAACACCTTTTGATGTACTTTATAGTGCTGCAGCTTGGACCAATACATGAATGAACGTGGCCTTTTATATTTTAGCACTTTGCTTGAAGTTCGTGGTTGTCGTTACATGGGTGAACAATGACTGAAGCTGTATGTTTTGAGGCAAGCAATAAAATTATGTGTATTTCCTTATAATTAATGTTCCAAATGTTTCAGTGAACATCATTCATATTTAATGCAAAAAGAAAAAGTAAAGCCAACAAAAGTCAAGATCTGAAATTCGGATTGAGGGTGCTCTGACCTTAACTCTGACCATCCTTTAAAGGAGAAGGATTGTGGTGTCTCTTCAAGCAGGGGTTGTTAAGGATTCACACAAAACTTCTCGGTGGGGAAGTACACAAACGTATTCTTTGTTGCAGACACAAGAATGTATGTATGCTCTTCATTTGTCAATCTGAAAGTCAAATTTCCTCCTTGCTTTCAGCTTAGTGTGAACCCTTAATGTTGTATAAACACGTTTGTGTCTGTGCAGATTTCACTGGCTTTGGCAGAAGGGCACGGGATGAGGGAACAGCCTCTTTTTTGTGGCAGGTTGTGAAGCATAAGTAGTATTTTCCTGATACTGCAGATTTATGTAAAATAACAGGGCTATTAGATCAGGTAAATGGGTATTTATTTACCTTACTAACTTACTAAAATCCCTGTAATACTCTTTAGGTGCTTTGGAAAAGCGAATCATTCTTTAAGAGGTGCAGGACAGGGGTGTGTTTAAGCAGCTGGGCTCATTTCCCCAACCCCACCTGCTTCTCGCACCCCAAATAACCCGGAATTTCTGTCTCTGCTTTTGTAGACTTTCCTCTCCTGGCAGGTGACCACTTTCTGGAAGAACCTCCTCCAAACAAGGTGGTTACTTTAGAGCTGCCTATTAATTTAGCAAACTCTAGTCTCTGAAAAACCGTTGGGGGTCACTGATAGGACTTCTCCTCTGTTTGCTTCCAGGATGTCTGTTTAAATACTTTGAATCTCGGGAATTCAAATTGCAGTTCATTTAGCCGCACGCTGTGTATGATAGCACCGTTATCAGTCAAGAGGCTAAGTGACTTCATGAAATCACACTTTATGTCTTCACAGTTGTTTTGCTGACTGCTTAAATGTGTGCTCCTTAAAAAAAGAAAGAAAAAGAAAAAAACCACTCTAACTTTCAGGTTGAAGCCAGAAGATTGTAGGAATTAATTGCTGCTGCTTTCATATGTGCCTTGAAAAGATGTTGCATCATTTGTGAATTAGTGTTTGTAAAGTGCTATGTAAGTGTTTAGCTTCATACATTAGATATTTATAATTCAATAATAAATTAATACAAACTAAAAAGAAAATCGGTACTTTGATACTGACTTAATTTGTATGCAGTAAGCAAATAGTTACATTTTATTACAGTTAAGCAATATAATGAATATTATTTTTAACTTGCACATTTACAAAGAAACTTACAGAAATCTAAAGAAATTGCTATTCATATTTTAGACAAGTGAAGAACTTATACTTTGTTCACATAGTGGAGCACATTTGCATTGCATGTTTCATATATTAATTTTCTAGGGCAGGTTATCTTTGGTAACACAATCTTCACAAAGCAACTGAGGGTGCAGATTTCTTGATCCAGAGTCATTTGGGAGTAGATATTTGGGGCCATGTTGAAAAATGAAACTGTAAAAGCACCTCATCGATGTAATTCTAAGTGGAATTATAGAGGAAAACCAATTATGCGTGAAGCAGCGAAAACTACAGGAGAGATGATGGTGCATCCCAGCCTCCCTCCCCCTGTCACGCCCAGGTCCTCTGCCATCAGCCTGCCCGGAGGAGAACAACCAGAATACCTGTGCTGACGTAATCCAGTGATTAACCATCCCTGTGAAAGTATTGTTGGTTGACAGTTTTGAAGAGAGATAATGATTACTTTCTCCAGAATAACCTGGCTCGGTGTTGCCCTACTTCATGGGTTGATACAGAATTGGTTTGTGCGTATACTTCCTGGGGCACGCTAGTGAGTCCTCCTGGACTGTGTTGCAGTACGTGGTGTAGTAGCCTAATAGGGGAAATGTGTCTGTACTTGTAAGATGATATAACAAATTCCAGTTTGTAGAATCAGTTTTACACAAGGTGGTATCAAAATTCATGAATTTATTCCCATTTGCATCATGGGAGCATGTTGGAGCCCTGAGATGATAAAAAAAAATCTTGCAGGACATACGCATGAAGTTCAGAGCCCACAGTTTCACACTTACTTCATGGTGGTTCTAGGCTGTGTGTGTGTGAACGGAGGGCTGGGGGGATTTGAGCTCCTTGTTTGGGTTTGTCACTTTATTTCTCCAAAGCTGCCCAATTTGTAGGTCATCGGCACTCCCAGGTTTAGTTTTAAACCTGATGATCCTGAGCCAAGACCTCGAACCAAAGGTCATGATGATTTTGAGATTTTGATGTTAGTAAATCTAATTTATAGGTATAAATTTGAAATCGTGCTTTATCAACATGTGTGAGTGGTTGAATCCTTTTTCTTCACCTTGTATTTTGAGTTCATTAATACCGGAATGACACTTCCAGCATATCCATAAATCTTCAGAAGTTTTCTGCAGCACCTCCCTGCCCGCTCAAGTCTAACTGTAACCAGATGGTCCTGCCTACCCTTCCGAAATCCCAGTGTAATTAGGAAACTACATCTTCTCTGATTTATTTAGGAACTGTGGGCAGGTTTGTACGTCTCATTAACAGGACGAGGCAGGGGAAGAACTGGATCGTAGCAGCACCTTGGAGGCTGCATTTTTGTTGAGTTCCAACAATGCAGATTGAGGTAAATTGAATTTAATTTCTGTTTTTTCTACCGAGAAGGAGAGGAGCAACTTTCACAGGCCTGGTATGAGCCATGGTGCTTTCAACAGGCAATAATGAGAACTCCAAGAAATGGGAAAAAAGAGGATTGAGGTGGGACCAGAAGTTCCACTTCAGTGTGTGCCTGCAGTAATTTCTCAATTTTAAGTCAGATGATGGCCAGTTGTGGTCTCTTGTCACACATGGCTCTTCAGTAGGGATTGTTATTGCCGTGTGAGAGCAGAGTTCAGTTCCCAAGCTCAGTCTGCAAATTGCAGCTGATGAGGAGAATTTAGAAGACACCCAGGTAAAGTTCTTGGTGAGTACCAGCTCTCTGACAAAGTGACATAGAGACAATTCCCTCATTTATTTCTATCTTGAATGGAGAAATACAAATTTAATTTTCTGGCCCAGTCACTTAGAAATTGCAGCAGAGGTGATGCGTGGTATCTCTGGAAGGACTATTCTGTGTCCTTTGCAGAACAGGTATAGCATTAAATACTGATAACATATGAAAAGATAACCCAAGTTTGAAGTGAATGAGATAGTGGTTGATGTTTCTTAATTGCTCTGATCTGCAGGTCTCTTGTATATATGTTTATAGTAGTTCTTTTGTGTATTAAAAATATTCATGAAGTCATCAAAAAGTTATTTTTACATACTTTGCACAGTTATTCCCTGCTCCCAAAATTGACGTATTTGAAACAAAACAAAAATATTTGCTCCTAGAATGAGATTTTGAATGGCAAGTGTAAGCTTGGAGAAGATTGCTCTACCTGATCATTAAACCTGTAGGTACAGCATTGTAGAAATACCAACAGATCTTTGTTGGTGCCTCAGCAGCAGAGGCAACTGCAGACTTGAGACACTTGTCTTGGTCTCTGGCTGCTTGCCTTAAATCTCTGCTCTGCTCCCGTGCAGTGCCCACAGCATTATAAAAATGCAAAGGTATGTTAGACATCTCCAAACCAAAACGTTGAATGTTTTGCTAATTTTAAGCCACTTGCATTCATATGCACAATGATTCATTGAAAAGTCTTGATACCTTGTCTCTGCTGCATGGAGCCTGCCAGGAAGAGCTTACCGATGGGGTCCTGCCCCGCGGATGTGGGCTGAGGCTGCCTTGTGTCAGTGCTCAGGTAGGAGAGAAAACTAAAAATATATAAAAGCAGAATTTTCTCTTAAAACAACAGTATTAAACAGTTGGTCATTTTCTGTGCACCGTGGCATCTCCTACTTCTTAAAGCAGCATATTAGCACTTAAAATATACCAAATTGTTGCTTTTTATTGGCCACATATTTGACCTGGCAGGTGGGCATTGATGGCAAGCCTTAACACTGTGCGAGCTGCGATTTATATCATTTATTTTTAATGTAG